TTCAATTGACCTGGCTGGTGCTCGAGTAGAGGAACGACTGACTAATGTCCGCCCATTCGTGTTCACTATGGAGACAGAAGACGGTGCCAAGTATTACCTCCAGGCCACCACGAAGCGTGAGATGCAGAAATGGATCTCGCAACTCGCGAAAATCGGCAAGAATACCTCGGAGAAGAGAAGGACGTATGTTGGCCCAGCTTCTGGTCACCCGCAAGAAAATATGCTTCCAGCTGCAAGGAATCTGGGAAGGCATCCCACAGCAGGTGAGACTAGGTTGTATGATGACTTTAGAGCCGCGTATTGACTATCCCCAGTATTCTCGGTGCCTTTGGATTTCCTGATCGAAAGAGAGTACGGCTCTATTCAAGTTGGTGCCATTCCCAAGTTCTTGGAAGCTTGCCTCGAGGAAGTCGAAACCCGTGGATTTATCGAGGATGGGATTTGTAAGTACCTTTTGGGATTACAAACACGCGTGTTCACAATTTATAGACCGAATCTCTGGTTCGAAACTCCAGATTGATCGTCTCAAGGCTGAGCTCAATGCTGGTCAGTGAATTTAGTTTTCTCTCATATGTTTACTCACAGCTTCTATAGGATCTCACGTCAAATTTGAAGAGCAAGATATACACAACATTTGTTCGTTGATCAAGCTTTGGATAAGAGAGATCCCAGAAGGGCTTTTCCCAGGCGAATGCTTTTGGCTTGCCGCAGAGGCAGTTCGTGAGTATATCTAGCTGAACGGTAAATGCCCTGTTCTGACTTTACAATGCGATAGAAACCCGTGATCGATTGCAATCCGTCGAATTGATGAGAAAGGCAGTTCACAAACTACCTCTTGCTCACTTCAACGCTCTTCGACGACTCATGGAGCATCTTTCTGTAGCAAGCACACACGAAGACGTGACACGGATGGCTGAAAAACAGTTTTCACTGGTATTTGGACAAACAGTCTTTACCCCGCCAGAGTCGGAAGGGGTCAAGGCTATCGGGGCGGGTATGCAATACGGCAATCGTGTCGTAGAGGTTTTGTTGATTCATGTGAGTCGTTTCAGTGAGCTTCACTGTCCTTCTAACCTTGGGATAGTATCATGCTATTTTTGAAGGGGATATTGAT